CAAATACAGGTCTAAAAATCAACATTTTGGAGCCCAATTGGCGAGAAAAGTACCGGTACTCTACAGGGCAGCTCAAGAGTACATAAAATTCTAGACTGTATCAAAATTAATTAAAATATTTACAGCGAAATATATTTACAGTGAAATTCTAACAGAAGGCACACCTTTCTGAGGCCATCAGCTGCAATGTATAATTCTTGTTTTAAGGGAAGGCGTTGTAGATGACTTTATCTGTTTAAGGGATAAAGTACTCTACAATGCCTTACCTTAAAACCAGAATTACATATTTGAATTAATCAGATTAATCAAAAATACCATCACATACCTATTGACTCAGGAGCAAGCTGTGTCATGGCTCTTAGAATCCAAACTGAAATGAAAAAGGTGGAAACTTCCGAAAGAGATGACATTGCCAACACCGCTGTAGGTAGAGGCTCGGGCCAGGTTTTTCCTCACCCTTTAGTGCAATGAGATGCTAATCCGCACCTTGTGAGCCTTGAGTGAGGTCTTTCCTTGAGAGCTGTTGAAGAGACACTGTACAATTTCACAGGAACAGCAGAATCAACATTGCTTAGTTCAAAAGCCATTCTTTGGCCAAGGTCACTGACTGGAAACACATGATGCCCCCCCAAGCCATCAGAGGCAGTGTGGAAAATACAACTAGTGCTGACTCAGAAAACACCCTCCTGAGGAAGTGAGATAACACAATGTTATACTGCGAGTCCTATAAACAGCGGGAAGGTTTTCCCCACACCTCTGGGGTGCTCGTTCTATGACTGTTCCTGTTTAGTAAAATGTGATTCACTCATCATTCATGCAACCTATTCAGTTGTAAACTAGAAAATAATGGCTTGCTTGTCATGTAAACTTTAGCTACCAAAGTTTAGCGAAGCAGAAATCAGGATTAATTTTTTTTGCGTTTCATTCTTAGTTATTTTATTAGTTTGGTGCATTGATGAAAGACGTAATTGATATAAGCATTTGACTCGGAAAACTTTCCTCCTTCAGTTTTCTTCATTTAAGGTTTCCCTTGCTCGAAAGCCAGTCGAATCCAACTCTAGGGTTGCGGTGCTCATCTCCGTTTCAAAGCCGAAGAGCCGGCGCTGTCCGAAGACGTTTCTGTGGTCATGTGGCCGGCATGACTAAACACCAAGGCGCACGGAACGCTGTTACCTTCCCACCAAAGTGGTACCTATTTATCTACTTGCAATTTCTTGCTTTCGAGCTGCTAGGTTGGCAGGAGCTGGAACTAGAGACGGGAGCTCACTCCATCATGCGGCAACCCGGGTCTCGAACTGCTGAACTACCGACCTTCCACAGCCTGCAGTTCAGCGTCTTAACCACTTGAGCCACCGCAGCTCCTTCATTTGCCTAGCTACAAAACAAGTAGACGCTGAGAGAAACCTTACCATTTTGTACCTGTGATTTTAAAGGTTTCCAAGTGTGAAAGTACAAGTTTACCATTTTATCTTATCAGGAATCATATCTCACTTGAGCCACCGCAGCTCCTTCATTTGCCTAGCTACAAAACAAGTAGACGCTGAGAGAAACCTTACCATTTTGTACCTGTGATTTTAAAAAAATAATAATCCACAGCTTACTGCTCTGGGGTGCATAGTCATTGTGCTTGGTTGCTACCACATTTTTAAGCTAACATTGTCATCACCATGTAGATGGGCCTATCTGGAATGTTTCCAAATAAGAACTCAACTCTTTCTTTGTGTATACTGCACCACAGAACGAAGGGAAGTGTTTCTAGATTTTCACATGCTCCATGTCACCATGTTGCTTGGGAGTCAACATGCTACAACTTCAGTTCCTGGCTGAGGCAAGTCTCAGTAACAAAGAGTATACGCAAACTAAATATCACTACCTAGCATTGTGTACCCTACAGCTGAATTACGGTGTGGAAAGAGTAGAATTATTTTTGCATTCATCATGATTTTTGCCCTGAAAGCCTAGCGGTCCATGAACTACAAAATTTAAGAGCCACTGATAAAGGAAATTTGGCTTCTCTAAAAGAGGTGGCAAGTTTCCTTTAAGGAAAAAAAGTGCCCAATGGAAGGCTGCAGTTATTGCATTGTATCAATAAATCATATGACAGCAACACAGAGGACTCTGAAACAATCCTTTTATTTTCAAAACTCAAGTATGTGATGCTATACAATACTAGCACACCTGTGCAGAGCTTTACAGTCTAACAAATTTAAATAGGATACACAAAATGGTGCCCCTTTGAGTTCTTCCTACTTAAAAATATCAGTGCTGTGCACAAGAAACAAAGTGTGTCTTTTTAAAGCCAAATAAATTAAATATTGCACTTCAAAGAGAGAGAAACAAACCCCAATTTTGATATGCTTTCTAGCCACGGTCCCTTTGATTCTTTTGACCTTGCAAAGACATCACGCCGATGCTACAAGACGGCGCAATCTTTGTCTCAGAATTACGATCACAGATTTTGCAACAGTAAATCTTTTCTCCAAAAACTGGATGGCCCCATGAATCAAGTTTACTTGCCCTAAGTAATTAAGCTTGGTTCAATAGAATTGTTTTACATTATACTTCAGTCACACAAAGGCAGTAAATACTTTAAAAGGGGTTACCTGTAAGATGGAGCTCGCATCATCCTTAACATGGGTGGCTTAATATTCTCAAAGAAATATTGTTAAAGAAGTGCCATTTGTGTGCCTTCTCTTAGCCTTGACCCTTTAATTTATGAACTGCTACCACTGGCTTTGACCACAATAGCACTGACCTTTACTATGGTTAACGCTAACCAGTGTTTGCTATGAAACAGAAACTGAAACCGGGGTTTGAAACCAGTTTTAAAACTCTGAAACAAACACTGACTAGTGGTAACATAGATCATCGAAGTGATAAACCTTCACTGTAATAGAGGTCATCAGGAAAACAACTTGGGAATTCACCTCGGGAAGGAATCCCAGGATCTTGTCAGGAACATTATGTTCAGGAGCATTATGTGTGCATATGCCATCTGTGAATGAGAATAGGAGTGATTAATCTCATCTGAGCTTTATTTTGAAAAGCTGCATACATCTTTCCACTCTCTAAGAGGAGCTGGGCTTCTCGTTTTTCAGCATCATTTCACTTTCTACTTTGAGTTTATGCAAAGTCATTAGTCATTATTACTAATGATTTAGTAGTGGCAGGTGTGCTTTGTCATTCATGCATGAAAAATTTGAACCATATTTGAATTAAATCATATAGCTGCCCTTTCCGGTCAGGTAATCTAATTCACCAGCCAACAGAAGTCCAGTTCCTGCCATCTAATGAGGGAACTGGCGTTTGCCCACCTCCTCACCTCTTGGAATGAAGCACAAGGTGTGGGGGAGCACACCAGTCTCTCAGTCCAGCGCTGCACGAGCTTGCGGTTGGACAGAGCTGCGGTGCTGGGAGACGAGAGGGCCAGGCACTCGTGGAGCACCTTTGGGCCCTGTGGCATGCATTTGGCTGCATCAACAACAGCTGCCCAGCTGCCCTCAGCCGCCTTGGCAGGGTGTGGCAATGGAGGAGTGCTCCTGAACCAGGTCATCTAATTCACCAGCCAACAAAAAAACCCCCTTCTCTCACCTCTCCAGTTTGAAAGCAAAATGGCACACATTCTCATTAGCCTCATTAAACTTTCTTAGTCATGCTGTTTTACTTTTCTCTGGTCTTCTAAAGTCATATCCACATTGTGAAAGAATACACAAACATTTGTATTTAGCATCAGTGCTAGTGATCTCACCTAACCTATCAACTTTTGGGTATCCTGAAGTCACCACTCTTCTTGGGAATTTTGAACAGCTGCTTGAACAACAATTAAACCACATAGCTCTAGTTCCCAAACGTCTTGTAATTAAGTTGGGGGGGGGGAAATCTGATTTATCATTCAACTCTTTCCAAGTTAGTTTTACACTGGATGCTGCCTCATCTCTTTCCATTGAAAAAAAGAATCCAACTCCAATTTTGTTGCTTTGCCATGATATTTCTTAACCACATGGCAACATATGTGCAGAAATCTCTACAAAAGTTTCCTTCGGATGACACATTAAATGTAAGTCGGGTTGGAAAACCCCAACCCAATGCACGTTTAATGTGTGACCACATTCACCTTCAAAATAATGTGCATGTGGAGGAACTGGGACATGAACACGCACAGTGACAGGAGAATCATCCTTCTCTTCCTTCCACCCCATGGGCTTTTGTTAGCAGAAGAGCATCAAGCCAAAGAGGGTTGTGGGCTGGCCTGTTTCTTCAAGCCGCCTCCCCCGGCTGACCCAGTCCTTTGCTATTGGTCTGAGAAAGGGGGGGGGGAGGTCATGCCACTTGCCAGCCCCAGCCCCACCCCCACATCTGGCATCCGGCCACCTCTCCCTCCCTGCCTGGCTCTGTAAATGGTGGGCCTCGCTTAGTCGGGCTCTCTTTGCTTGTGGGTGGGGGAGTTGTTCCTCTTACTGCTGGTTCCATGTGTCTCCTGGCATAAAGACAAATAGCTGCCCCCCTGCCCTTTTCTGGTCACTACAGGGTTCAAGGTGAAAGGGAGAGAACACCAAAGTTTGTGCTTGGGAGCCCATTTCCCCCATACTTACATTATTTTGCGTGCAGTCACACGTTATATACAAGTTGGGCTGGGGTTACCCAATTTGTGTTTAACATTTTGTATAATTAGACCCATAAGTTCCAGTGCAGGAGATATTCTAGCTTTCCAATGAATGTTAGATGGAGTTAGTGCAACACAGTACAATTGCAAATGTCATATAGGCTAATTTCTCCAACAGTAGGCTTATTATTCTGTTGTAGCAAAATTAAACAGGAGTCCAGCAGCTCCTGGATTATTTTAACTGATTACCCTTTGATTTGTTCTTTTACACTGGCCTGCCTTTACAGCTTCTCTCCAGTCTCCCTACTCCTTTTCTGTTGTTTGAACTGCTTTGGAAGGACACTGAAGCATCTTATGAAGTCCGCTTTAAGCTATAAAAGCTTATATTGAAATAAATCCTGTTAGTCTTTAAGGTACTAACGAGACTTCTGTTTAATTTAGTGAATGGGTAAGAGTACTATGGCCTTTGCTAGTTGCTTCCTGTTTGCCGAAAGGGACTCAGAGGAATCGTGGTCACAATTTGCAGCGGTCCTTTTACCTCAATCCTGAGCAGGGCTTTTTTTGTAGAAAAAGCCCAGCAGGAACTCATTAGCATAATAGGCCACACCCAACAGCAGACACTCGTTAGCATATTAGGCCACACCCCCATGCCTTTCCTTGGCTTGCCCGGGCACCCTGCGACTGTGGGGAGCCCAGGCTAGCCAGCCCTTGAACAGGCCAGGAAAGTCACGGGGGAGGCATTTAAATGCCTCCCCGATCCCTCCAGGCCCCCCCGCCTCAGTCGCTGGGGGGGGTCGCTATCCAGGCCTTCCCTCTGTAGCCACACATACAGAGGTTTTGGCTGTACTGGGTGTGGCCAGCTCTGAAGCCAGCCGGAACTC